CCACCCCTGTCTTCACCACTCCTACCTCCTTTGGTTTTGTCCCCATCCGTTACCCCTCTTCCTAATCCAGAAACCACTTTGTCCATACAAACTTCGTTATCATGTTCTGCCCCTGTAGAAAGCCTACATCGTCGTCCTAGACGCCGACTTCGACCTACTTCCCAACCTCAACTTACTCCCCTTTCCTCCATCTCTGTTCTTGGACGAAGAAGAACCTGTTCTTTCTCCCCACCACATCCCTCCCCAACATCCTGTCCTCGTCTTTTGCCGTCCCAAGCATCCTTACCACGCCTGCAACGCTCTTCGACTGCAGATCGTTGTGCAACACGACAAACACAAAACAGGAGGGATGATGGCGAGGGGCTATCTGAGGATGAACTTGGCAAGGGGACTGTAGGAGATTCTATAGAAAATCCGCCTGACCGGCCTCCACCGAATCTGTGTGGCCTCGCTGCTACTAACATATGCCTACAAGTCTATCGTCGGGAACCATATACTCACTCTGATTTCTTGGCCATTGCTTTCGATCTTGATCCTCAGGAACGTGAGTTATATGGCGATAACCCGACTCTGCATCCCCGACAGGATAGTAGTTACACTCGACGTGGGGGATTCAATGTCTCTGTTTTGGAGACTGCTTTGTTAAGGCGCCGACTTGATATGCAGCGTGCCCCTTCGGGTAGCGACCCGGACCACTGTTCGCACGTTTGTGCCTATATTTTACATGCTCCTGACCACTACACTGCTCTTGTCCGTGCCTCTGGTTCTTGGGAATTATGGAATGGCGGTGCTATGGTGCAAACTATTACTGCCACCTGTGATCTCGTGCGTAATTACCCTAACCTGCAACTGTTCCAGGTCATTGACCCTATGACCTTGTGTACTTCCATGCCCGCCTCTACGCCTATCTTTGTGCCTGCCTCCATACCTGTCTCTGTGCCTGTTTGTGTTTGTCTCGTTCCAGATGACTGACTCTATCGGGTACCATGTGTACTTCTGTCCCCGCCTTTGCACCTGTCTTTGTGCCTGCCTCCACACTTGTCTCCATGCCCGTTTCTGTGTCTGTCTCCGTGCCTACCTCCATGTCTGTCACCGTGCCTGCTTTAGTCTTTGTTCCCCCACATGCTGCACTAACACCTTGTGACCTCCTTTGTGAGATCACTGACACAGTTACACTTGGTTGTGGAAAGCAGTGACTTTGTCGACATCCAGATGCAGTATAATTTTTCGGGCCCACTGTCGGCAGGGATGCGACCTGTATCCGTATTGTGAACATCCTCTGCATCCAGGGATGCGACCTGTATCCGTATTGTGAACATCCTCTACATCCAGATGCAGTATGTCCCATCTGTGCCTGTGGGCGCTATAGCGAATGTGCACTTAACTGTGATGGTGAACGCCCCACAATCGTCATGGCCTGCAACCGGCATGCCCTCTTTCGTGCATGCTTCAGAGGTATGGTTAATGCTAGCCGCCCTGGCTCCTGATGTGACGAAGTTGCTTACCTGAATGGTTTTCGTCCTGTACCTCAGCGGGAGGGCTGCTACCATCGCCCGTATCCTTATGACAGTTGTCCTATCTGTCGTGAGGGTCTTACTTAGACGTACCTTGCACCCTGACAAAAATGTGCAGGTGCGCTGAAAAGAGTGTACAAGAATGTGCAAAGGTGGGGAAACCTTCACTAAAACTGCAAAACTGTGAAGAATGCATTAGAAGAAGAACATAAGTTTGTGTCGTTTTACTTTGTTTGTACCCTGCTCCCTAACGCCCTCAAAAGAAAAGTCCAAAGGGTGAAAATGAGGATGAAAAATGAAGAAGGAAGTGCAGGTGCGCGGAAATCGAACGTGGTAGACTCTTCACCAAAACTGCAAAACTGTGAAAGAAAGAAGAATGCAGTAAAAGAAAGAAGAGGTTTGTGTCAACATTTTTTATTTTTATTTTTTCTCCCTCTGCCTATTGGTTTTCCTTTTCCGCTCCTCTCTTCCGTGTGTTTTACACCTCTTCCTTCACTCTACATCTTTCCCATAGCGTGCAAGTGGGCTGTTATGGCATACGGGGATGGGGGCTGCTCGCGCTCAACTTCATCAACGTGGCGAGCCTTGTACGTTAGATGCACAGTGGAGGAGGCGTTAAGACTGAGAAACTGAATGATTTCAATGTGTCTTTGTTTTTTATTTTTATCCTTTGATTCAGTGTGAAAGAAATAATAATACTGTGAAACAAAGAATAAGAGGACATTGTTTTGTGTCATTCTGGTTTGTCTGTCTCTTTGCCTGTCTGTCCTTCTAGTCAATAGTTCTGTGATATATATAGCCGTTACTAGGCGGCCATGCTGTGCCTCTAGTGCCAGCGGCGTGTCTGGAGTGTATTTTTTGGCTGTGACAGACCTTTCTTTGTTTCGTGGATGTTTTGCTAGCTTGTGATGGGGTGTGAACTGACAGTCTGTAGAGTTTTCCATCTGGTGTGGGTGAGTGATAGTCTACTTTGATTTTGGTTAAGGTAGATTATCATTTACAGTGTAATCAGTGAGGGGATTCTGCAGACTGTTGAGGGTTCAGCCTCCTGATGAGTCGGTGAAACTCCGACGAAACAGTTTGTCACAGCCCCTCGTTTGTTGTCCTCTTCTCTCTCTCTGCCTACGGTTTACCGGGCAGTTCTGTTTGTGACGATATATATACATATATTCCATCTGGTGTGGGTGAGTGATAGTCTGCTTTGACTTTTGCCACAGGTACCTTGAGGGCAGTGGTTGGTGCTCAGGGTATCAGTTGTCGGGCAGTCGTTGATGCTTAACCACAGCTGGGGTTAAGGTGGATTATCACCTAGTGTACTGGGCAGCTCTGTTTGACTATATATACCACGACTTCGCTAGCACCCTGCTACGGTATTCTCCGGTCAGGTCGAGGGGCAGTGGTCGGGGCCGTCACTACGCGGCCATGCTGTGCCTCTAGTGCCAGCGGCGTGTCTGGAGTGTATTTTTTGGCTGTGACAGACCTTTCTTTGTTTCGTGGGTGTTTTGCTTGCTTGTGATGGAGTGTGAACCGACAGTCTGTAGAGTTTTCCATCTGGTGTGGGTGAGTGATAGTCTGCTTTGATTTTTGCCACAGGTACCTTGAGGGCAGTGGTTGGTGCCCACCTCAGGGTATCAGTTGTCGGGCAGTCGTTGATGCTTAACCACAGCCGGGGTTAAGGTGGATTATCACTTACAGTGTAATCAGGTAGGGGATTCTGTAGATATATATATATAGCAGGCTCTTCTTTGGTTTTGGTAGAAACTATTTTCCTAACTCTCTTTCTACCATTTCTCCTTTTTTTGCTTTATTCTTCCCCATTTATGGGGTATTTCGTTGTGTGGCCCTACTGAATGGTTCCGTTTTTTTTACTATGGATATGGTAGAATTTGTTTTGGTAACCTTGTCTGCATCCCGGTTGGTTTGGTCCCGTTGTTCGGTCTATTTCGGCGAGCGTAGCGGTGCTTTCATGTGGGACCAGTCATCTGGGCTCTCTTTTATTCTCTTGGCGTCCGAGTTGGTTGCTTCCCGTTGTTCGGCCTGTGTGATGGGGCGGTGCTTTCATGTGGGAATCGTCATCTGGGATTGTCTTGTGTGTTTTTTGTCCCAGTAAGAATGGTTTACAAATGGGAATACCCATGTCTTGATGACGAACAAGGCCATCTGCTGTATATAGATATGAAATCTGGGATTTTTTTTTTTTTGCAGACAAGAGTTTTGTCCTGGGTGGTCTTGTCCTGCTGTTTGGCCTGTGAAGGAGGGGCGGTGCTTGTATGTGGGACTTGTCATCTGGGATCCGTTTTACCCAAGGTGGTGCTATTGCTTGTTGCCCCCTGTTTTGTTGTATTTGGCTGTTCCCTTCCTCTTTTCTTTGCCTCTTTGCCCTTTGGCTGTGTGCAAGTGGGTCGATATGGCACACGGGGGTGGGGACAGCCGCTGCTCAACCTACGTCCACGTGGGTGGCCTTGTACGCAAGAGGTTCTGAACAGGGGGAGTTGTAAGAAAGAAGATAAAAAAACGAATTATTTTTTTCTTGTTTTCTTCTGTTTTTTTTTTCCGCTTTTGTGCTCTGATATTCATGTGACGATACATACCTCCTGATGAGTCGGTGAAACTCCGACGAAACAGTTTGTCACAGCCCCTCGTTTGTTGTCCTCTTCTCTCTCTCTGCCTACGGTTTACCTGGCAGTTATATTTGTGAGGATATGCATGCTCTTTTGTGGGGGGCGTTCTTCCTTTATTCTGGCCTGTAATAGACATGCTATTTGTCAGGAATGTATGGTTGGCATGCTTAATGCCAGCCGTCGTGGCAGTTGTTGTTTTGCGCTCATCCACCCCATCCTTACAATGTGTGTCCTTTCTGTCGTCAATGACAGCCTCATTCTTGAGCTTTTCCCTGTGTTTAACACCTTCCCCTTCACTCTGCCTCTCTCACAGCGTGCAAGTGGGCTGTTATGGCATACGGGGATGGGGGCAGCTCGCGCTCAACTTCATCA